ATATATAATTATATAATATAAAATCTATATAATATATATTATATTATTATAATTATTATAATTATAAGTACTACTATTATTATTATTTGGGAACTGGCCGCCTATTTAACTGTTTTAATATTTTATATTAGGTTGATTGGTATTAATTAAATGCTTGCAAGCTTATATATATTAATCAGGGTTACTTTAAGGAGATCGCCAACAAGTGTTTTTTATTTATGATTATTTTAAGGGATGTGTTGACTGTTGGAGGAAGCTGCTATATTATTATTCATATATAATTGTCAACTTGTTTGTTAACTGGATATCAGGTAGCCGAATTTTTTGTGGTTATACATTAAACAGTAACTTTTGACTCATTACACCATTATACCTTAACTTAGGAGAATAAAAGCAATATAAGGAAGAAAAAACATTTAAAATTACAGAGGTCAGCAAGAGGGTATGTAGAAACACAGGGGGTAGTTGTTGCTACGGCAGGAGTGTTTGTGGCACTCAATCTTCTTAGCATCTGATACGTCATCTGCAGCAATCTTCTTGGGGGAGCAGGTGCAGCGTGTCCCTCCCGCGTGCTCGGCGCCTTGACCGTGCTGAACAAGGACCAGATTGGTTTCACCTAAGTTCTTCCGCGGGAGGGGGTCCCGCAGAAGTGAGTTTTTGCAAAATTTCTTTTTTCTTTTTAGCAAAGTTTCTTCTAAGCATCGAAAACTCAACTGAAAACAACCACAGCTGGATTCAAAAGAAAAAACCTACTTCAGTAAAATGACAGCACCGGCACACAGGGCACAGGAGTGGGGCATCCCCCAGTTCGCTGAACACCAAGCCGGGGCAGAATCAAGAGAACAGGCTTCCCGGGAACGCGGGCAGAATCTGCGAGGACTTGGGCAACTTCCTGAGGCCCCGCAGTCGATCTCTAGCGTGAAATACAGCGGCGCTCACGGCACAGCTGCGCCCCCCGGGCACCCGATGCCAGGCCAGTCCCGGAGCAGCCAGGAGGAGAGTGACCAGGACTGCAGGCTGAGCTGGGGGAGAAGGGGCGGGTCCTGTACACGGCTGGGTGTCCTGCGGCACCCCTGCCCTCTACCCACGGGGTGCCAGGGCGCCACCGCCGGCTATACGAGCAAGAACAGGGACGTGCAATGTTACCTGGGGCTCGGCAAGAAGCACTGCCTCTACCCTCTCAATGACTGTGTTCCTGTCCAGACCATGGAGCGCCACCCGATCCCCTGGCCAGTTCCCAGCCCACCATCTTGCACCCTGCTCAGCACCACCTCTCCCTCTGGGCTTGCCTGCCTCTCAACAGCACACGCATTTCTCACTTGCCCAGAGTGAGCAGAGTCACCTCCACACCACCAGCTCTCAAATCCTTCCCTCTTTTCCATTCTCATTGTTTCTGCCCAAATGCAAGTCCTCCCTACCCCAGCAGACAGCCTCCTCTCTCACCGCTGGGCTTCTTGGTCTGTCTCCCCTCAAAGGTAGCCCTCAGGTCACCTCAGGAAGTGTTCCTAAAATACCACTTCCTGGGAACACAGCATGCCACTCTGCCCACTCTCCCTATCAGAAAGGTCCTTGCACCTGTCAGGGCTCAGGGGTGCTCCCACTTTCTCCACAAGTGTCCACTCTCTCCTGCCCGCGCCTCCTCTGGGCCTCAGCATTGTCAGTCCTTCCTCACTACCACTGTGATCTCAACAGCAGGCGTTTCAGGCACAGGGAGATGTGCAAGTATGCCCGCAAGGCCGTGTAAGCACCCTCTCCTCCAGATGCAAGATGACTCCTGGAAAGCTAAGGCTTCAAGGGCTGGGGCAGCATGAGATTCCCTGCCAGCCAACAGACGGGAGGTCCGGGGTGGGGGGTGAGGCTAGCGGCCAGGGCTCCCTGACAAGGAACACCAGGAAGGAGAATGGCCATCAGTACAGGAGCTACACAAGCCAGACTCTAAACTGGGGAAAGAAACCTCCAGATCTAATCAGCAATTAGGGCAAGGTTGCAGGATACAAGGATAACATACAAAAGGCAACTGGTTTCCTCTAAACCAGCAATGAACAAGTAGAAATTAAAATTAAAAATGCATTACAGGGCCTCCCCTGGTGGCGCAGCGGTTGAGCGCTGGGCTGCAAAGCTGCCCACAGCCTCTGCAGCGTCAGTTCGATCCCCGGCCACCAGCGAGGGTCCCACATGGCGTGCAGACTTCACCTGCCGCGCCCACTGCTCCCCTCAGCAGTGTATTTCGTCAGCCTGCCTGTTCTGTTCCCCGCTCTGACTCTGGTGAATTCTCTCACCCTCCGGCGCTTCTGACTGTACCCAGTGCTTGTATGAATAAATAAATCTTTTAAAAAAAAAGGCATTACCAATTTAAATTAGCACAGCTCCCACCCCCACCCCCCGCCAAAAAAGTTAAACATTAGGGATAAATCTAACAAAGCATGCATCAGAACATGACCACAAGCACAGAACAAATGGAAGACATCAAAGAACCAGGTAAACGGAGCGCCTCCACGTCCACAGATGGGGACGCCACGTCGTCACGAGGTGAGTTCTCTGCTCCACCCACAGGGCCGTGCAGTTGCAACCAAAATAAATCCCAACAAGTTATTTTGTGGATTTGACAAACGGATTCTAAAATTCACATGGAGAGGCAAAGGGCGCGGAATGCCAGCACAGGACTGAAGAAGAGTGAAGTCTCAGGACGAGCCACGTGAGACGGAGGACATGTTACACCGGCAGCAACAGGGCAGTGTGTGCTGGCAAAACAGACAGATCACTGCGTAGAACAGAAATCCCCAAAACTGCTTTACAGAAACAGCTGACCTGACGGAGGAGCAAAGGCAATTCGAAGGAGAGAGAACAATCTTTTCAACAAAGGGTGTTCAAACAGTGGGACCTCCCCCACAAAAATTGTCTCAAAAGTGGATCACAGGCCTAAGTGTAAAATGCAACCCTAGGCGGTGCCACAGGAAAGCAGCTCGGGACGCAGGGCAGACTTTCCATCCACAGCACGAAAGGCACCATGCACGAGAAGCCACCGACAGGTTAGACTTCCCCAACATCGAAAACCTCTCTGCAAAAGACACTGGCAAGGACACGAAAAGACAAACTGGAAGAAAATATCTGAAGGACTTATCTGATAAAGGGCCAAAATATTCAAGAACTCTAAAAAGCCAACCTTAGGAAAATGAAGACGAGTAACAAGCAGACAGATCTTCTCCTTGTGAGAAGTGCAGCTCCAGGCCAAGCCGCGTCTGTCTGGGGAGGGAAGAAACAGTCTCCGGCACCCAGAGCGGCTTCTCAGGTGAGGGGCTCTGGAGAGGTGTGTAGGATCCCGTGTGGCCGGCCCTGAAACTACCCCAGATTGTAGTATCTAGCATGTCCCTTTGGTCCTCCTGTCTGTCATCAACACCTGGAGCGCGTCAGTGAGTGTTTTGAGCAAACCACGAAATACCTGCAGCAATGCCCTGGAGCCTGAAATGATGTACCGCCCTCTTCGCATAAAGTTGGCACTTCTGTTGCTCCCACCAGAAATAAAGACTTTAATTTTTTCAAAAAAAAACCACCACCAGCAGCAGCAGCAGGAGGTCTGAAGAGATCCCCGGTGCAGACGAGCGCAGAAGACCAGCGAGCCCGAGGAAAGGTGGGCGAGACCAGCCATCACTAGGGAGCTGCAAACCGCCACGCGGCAGACACCCCCAGAGGATGTCCACAGCACAGGGCACAGGAGGGCACGGAGCAGCAGGCCCTGCTTCGCTGCCGGCGGGAAGGGCGATGTCTGGCAGCTTTTCGGGACTTGGCGCAATAGGCTCAGGCACGACCCAGCCATCACACATTCTTCCATATTTACCCAAATGAACTGAAAACTCACGTCCTCATAAAAATCTGCACACGGGGCCTCCCCGGTGGCGCAGCAGTTGAGCGCTGGGTTGCAAAGCTGCCTGCAGCCTTTGCAGCGCCAGTCCGATCCCTGGCCACTGGCGAGGGTCCCACATGGCGCAACAGACCTCTCCTGCCGCACACGCTGCTCCCCTCAGCAGTGTATTTCTGTCAATCTGCCTGTTCTGCTCCCCGCTCAGGCTCTGGTGAATCCTCTCACACTCCCACGTTTCTGACTGTACCTAGTGCTTGTATAACTAAATAAATCTTTAAAAAAAAAAAAAAGTATATAATTTTTTGAAGTAGAAGACACCTGAGGCACTAAATGTTCACAGTAAAAAATAAAAAACAAGGGCCTCCCTGGGGGCGCAAAGGGTTAAGACACAACCTATGAAGCTGTCCGCAGCTTCTGCAGCACAAGTTCAATCCCCGGCCAGGGAGCAACCACATGGCGCAGCAGACCTCTCCTGTCTCCCCGCTGCTCCTCTCAGGAGTGGATTTCAGTCAGTCTGCCTGTTCCGTTCCCCACTCTGTCTCTGGTGAGTCCTCTCATCCCCTGCACCTCTGGCCTGTACCCTGGCTCTTGTGTGCATAAGTAAATAAATCTTGAAATAAATAAACAAAAAACAAAGTGTAAATGAAACTTTACCTTAAAAAATGAAACTAAAGCTCTCCTGTGTGACATAATTTAGTCATCACCCAACTACAACAAAAAAGTAAACCAAGTAGGGAGTTTTAGTATCATTTTCCCAAAAACCTTTATGAAGATCCAATAAAGCACCCCCACTCCCTGCTCCACTTTCACTGCGTAATTTCATGAACTCGGCCAGTCTCTTCAAGCGTCTCTGTCTTTTGACATTTAAGTGATCTATTTTGGTTTTTTTAAAAGATTTATTTATTTATGCATACAAGAACTAGGGTACAGGCCAGAGGTGTGGGGGGTGAGAGGATTCACCAGAGACAGAGTGGGGAGCAGAACAGGCAGACTGACTGAAATCCACTGCTGAGGGGAGCAGCGGGCAAGTCAGGAGAGGTCTGCTGCACCATGTGGGTAGCTCCCTGGCCGGGGATGGAACTCGTGCTGCAGTGGCTGCGGACAGCTTCACAGGCTGCGTCGTAACCCCTGCGCCACCAGGGAGGCCCTAAGTGATCTATTCTGAAGGGCACAGGGCGTTATCCTCTCTTCAAATTTCAACCATCAGTGGCTGTCTGAGGATGAGTTGAGACTTAACAGTTCTCAAACAGTTCTTTCATCAAACTTTATGTAATCTCACACTTTTGCAAGATTTGCGATTTCATTTCACAGCTGAATGTGCCTTTGTAAGGCAATGAGAGTGGTAACAAACCTTTGGAGGGGTGGGAGGCAGGGCCAGGGTTAGGCTGAGAGACTGGCCTGGTTGAGTCTTTGAGGAACCGGCCTGGCAGGGGCAATTTTCACGTTAGGTGACCCCGCTCCTGCCTGCACCACTCATACTCCCAAGGGCAACCACAAGTCTGATAACAAAGATCCCTGTCAGCCCTTGGGAGAACAGCACAGACCCTCAGATAAAATCCAGTGCCCACTGGGAGCCGAGCATGAGTCTGGGGCAGGAGACACAGAGAAGAGCATGATGCGCCCTCTGGGGGTTCAATCTCACGCAAGAGTTGCAGGAAAGGTATGTGCGAGGAAGAGCTGAAGGAGACATAAATGAGAAAGAAGACAGTTCTGGTTCTCTGTAAGTTAGGCCCAGAAGGGAGCCCAAGGTTGCCAAGCAGAGAGCACAGCAGAGAGGCCTGGAGACAGAAAACACAAGGCTCACTCAGGAAAGGCAGGCCCCGAAATGCTCCCAATGAAGGGGAAAGAGTGATTCTAAAACAATTAAAAAAAAAAAAAAAAAAGAACCACTGTAGAAAGGTAGGCCCAGGCCCCCGTCGGGAGCAGGGAAGCAGCTGGACTCTCTTCTCCAGCAGCAGGAAGCCACGTACACTTCTAAATGGGTGTTGACAAACCCCTGGCACCAGGCCACAGGCCAGGCTGGAGGGGAACGCCAAGTGCAAGGATCCCCTGGGCACCCGCGCCCAGGCTCCAGGCAAGGACTGCGGGCAGGCCTGGACCCAAAGCAGCAGAGGGGCAGAGAAAAGAAAGTCTGGTGGGAAAAATAGTTCCCCAGGCCTCACTTGCTGCTGCGGGCAGAGGAGGGGAGCCTGGGAGTGCTCAGGCTCCGGGCCAGCAGGTGCCTCAAGAGGAGAAAGCAGGAGAAGCACCTTCCTGGGCGGGGAGGAACAGGAGGGGATAACGTGGGGCAGACTGGAGGGGAGCAGCTGCAGAGCAAGGTCACCAAGCCACGGCAAATGGACCAGCACACAGCAGAAAGCGGGGGCTGGACAAGTGACCAGGAGTGTCAGGAACAGGAGCCAGCTGGAGCCGGAGTCCCGCACGGGGCCACTGAGTTTCAGCCAAGTGACCCTGTCCCCACGGTGCCACCGCGTCTGCATCAAGCTGGGCACCGCCACGTGCCTAAAATCACCTCTTTTCTCTTTATTAAACTCATCCTACAAGTACAGTTTACTCCAGGAAACAAGACTGAGAGGCAAGGTATACGCCACGCATTACTCAAAATGGTCTCCGCGCCCAAAGGAAAGCTACGTCTCCCAAGGCTTCCAACTCCTGGAGAAAAACAGGACATCCTCCGTGCTTTTAAAATGACGCATCTGAGCAAAACAAAGGTTTCACTGATGAGCAACCTTCACGGAAGGCCCGGAGGCTGCGTCCAGGGTGTGGGGATGGTCCAGGCTAGCAGGCACTGGCCCGGGGCCGACATTCACCGGGATGGCTCCTTTCATTACCGGGGGCGGCCTCTGTCCTGTGTCTGGGCATCGTCAGGCCCAGCTACGGGTGCAACCAAGCTCTGGTGTCTCCTGAGGCAACTCGGGATGAGCTACGCACCTCGGGCTTTCTTTCCTCTGCTTTCTACCAGCCGCCTTGGACTCTCAGGGCCGGACGCCTCTGTGACAGGCGGGGCTGGTTAATCCTGCTGCAGAGGCTCTGGTGGGCTGCGCACGGGAGAATCAAGTGACTGAAACTGCATGTGGGGTTCACTGCCGACAGCGGGGGGGCGGGGGGGCAGCCGGGCGGCCGCGCCGCAGGAAAGCAACGAGCAGAAAAACCGACGCTGTGACAGCCCAAGCGGGGGCCCCGCGAGCCCCGAGGGCTGCCCCGGCGGCAGCTGCAGACAGGCCGGGGTCCCGCGGCCGCGCCCCGCTCGCCGCAGCGTTTCAGGGGGTCCGGCCCCGGCACCCGAGGGCGTCACGAGCGCGGCGTCTTAGGGCGGCCGCGGCCCCCCAACCCCGCAAGGACTCCCCGAGGCGCTTCTCCAGCTCCGCAGACACCCCTGGGCGCGCGCCCCTGCCCCCCGGGGCGGCGGGTCCCCAGGGCGCGCGGACGGCGGGGCCCGGCGGGATGGCGGCGGGGCTCGGGAAAGGCAGTTTGGGGGGCAGCCCCCGCCCCCCGCCCCCCGCGTCACCCGACCCGCCCGGCCCCGCCCCGGCCCCTCGCGTCACCCGACCCGCCCGGCCCGCCCGCCGCCCCGACCTGACGACGCTGATGTGGAACTGGTCCTCGCGGAGGCCGCGCCAGGCGCCGGGCAGGAACTCCCGGCACCACAGATAGGCGCGGCGGCGCGTGCGGGCTCGGGCTGCTCGGCCGGCGCGGGCGGGGGCGCGGGCGGGGGCGCGGGCGGGGGCGGCCGGCCGCCGGGCGGCTTGGGCTCGGGGGCGCTGGCGGCGCCGCGCGGCGGCCCCACGCCGGGCGCCGCGGCCGCGCTGCCGCCGCCGCAGCCCAGCAGCAGCCCGAGCGGCGAGGGCTCCGCCTCGCCCCCGCTGCAGAACTTGGTCTTCATGCCCGGCGGGCGCGGGGCGCGGCGGGCGCGGGCGGACGAGGCGGCTGCCCTGTGCCCGCCGGCCGCGCCGCCTCCTCTACGGCGCCGCACGCGGAGCGCCGCGTCACAGCCCGCCCCCGCGCTCGCCGCCGATTGGCCGGCGCCCGCCGCGACGCCGCATCACAACCGCCGCCGCCCTCGCCACGCCGCCTCCCCATTGGCTGCGGCGGCGCGGGGCGGGGCGGCGGGGCGGGGCCTCGCGGGGGCGGGGCCGGCGGGCGGGGCGCGCGGGGTTGCGGGGCCCGGGGCGGGGGTGCCCGCGGGGCCGGCGGGCGCGCAGGGGTCTCCTCTTGGGGGCGGGACTTTCCCGGGAGCCCTCGGAGGCCCTCGGACATCGCGGCCGGGGGCCTGGGGGCCGGGCCCGGCTCCCTCCGCGCGACCTTGGGGCGGGGCGCCTCCTTCCGCGGCCCCGGGGTGCGCTTGGGCCGCGGTGCCCGGGGCTCGGCCGCGCGAGGGGCGCCCGCCCCGGCCCCCCGCCCCGGCCCGGCCCGGCCCGCGCCCCCGCCCGGGAGGAAGCGCGCGGCGCGGCCCGGCCCCCCTGTCCGTGGTGCTGAGGCGCGAGGCGGCGGCCGGCGCGGGCCGGGATCCCGGCAGAGGCGGCGCCGGCTGCCGGCCCCGAGGACGCCGCGGCCCCCGCCGCCCTGTCTGGACGCGCGCGGGGCGGCGGGGTGGGCATCCCCGAGCCCGAGCCGGGCAGGGGCCTCCGGGCGGCTGGGGGCCCGGGGGGCTTCAGTGTGGGGGTTCGGTCAGCGGAAATTCCGTGTTTATGTTGGGGGAAAGCATGTCCCAGAGCTGATCCCACACAGCTTCGTGGACGCCACCCCCACCCCAGGCCAAAGCCAAAGGCACCGGGAACCCCAAATCCCATCCCCACCCAAGGGAAGGGGGCTGGGACCCGTCCAGTATCGGGGCTGCCCTGTAACATTTAGAGGGGACCTGCCTGGGCTTGCGCCGAGATAAACGGGCCTGTTTAACGAAGGGGCTACGAGGACGGGGCTGCCGAGCAGAGCCCGCGGGGGCTGGACGCTGGGCTGGAGGAAGCTGGGCGCAGCCCGGGCCTAGGAGCCGGCGAGGTGTGGGATGTGCCAGAGGCCGAGAGAGCAAGGGCTCGGCTCAGGCCACTTAGATAAGGTCGCCAAGGACTTTGACTAAAAATACTAGCCCGCGGGGAGGTGGGGCCCGGCCCGTGGCCCGCCCAGGGGACAAGCCCTTTGTCCCACTGGCCCCTGGCACCAAGCTGGTCATCTCCAAGGAATGTGAGAATCCAGACGGGAGGCTCCAGCACTAGAAGGAAGGGCTGGGCCTCTGTCATTTGAAATAACTCTTCCTGGCGGCTGCTGGCCTGGCCACCCATTAGCACCCACAGGGCCTTTAGGGGGTTGCAGTTCTCTGTGGAAGCAAAAGGTTGTTGCTTCATGACTGTTGGGAAAGCTGCGTTGTTCCTGTCTCCGTTTAGTAATGTGGGTCCCCCGAGGCTGAGGGACTGGACTTGACTGAGGTGAAGGGCTGGGCAGGTGAAGGGCTGGCTTCTTCCTCCCAAGATACAAAGCTTCCGGGCCTACATCAGACTAGCCTCCTGCTAGGATGCCCCGGAGGCCCGGCCTTCAGCGCCTGGGGTACTGCTTTCACCTCACACCACGGGGTGAGAAGGGAAAAGTTTGGCAATGGTGATGCTAAAAGATAAGTTTTACATGAGAAAAGATTAAATCGGCCCAGAGAATGGGAGAGCCTCCCTGGGTGTTTGAGCTGGCTCTGAAAGGCTGAGAAAGCCTCTAGGGCAGCCAGCGCCCCAGGCTGCTGACCTCTGCCTCCAGCGTAAAATCCATAGTACCGTTTCCTCTCATGGGGAGGACTTGCCAGGAAGGGCAGGCCCAGGAAAAGTGCCAGGCACAGCACTATCCGAAAGGGGAAACCCAGAAGGATAAATATGCTCGTGACCCTTGACCTAACAATCCCTTGCCAAGACTCTCCCAACCAAGAAGCATCCTAAGCAAAAAGCCCCATGCATATAAAACTGCAAGGGGAGAAAACGAAGTCAGCTGTGTGTGTGTCTGGCCCCCTGAATCGGGCTGTAAAGGATGCTGGGCCCACGTGTCGTGTATCTGACCGAGCTCAAGATGTCCAGGCGGAAACTGGCGGGCAGGGTTCGTTCTCCACACCTTTCTCGGTGCCTTCGCTTCCCAGGGTTCCGCAGCCCTGCCTGGTTCCTGCTTCTCCCCCTACAGCTCCCCTTTTGGTTGTTTATTGTGGATTGTCCTGTCTTCCTGAGTCACTCCCCCCAGGCTGGAACCTCAGCAGAGCCAGGATCTTGAATTCTTGCTCTCCACCGCAGTGCCAGCAGCCTGGTGTTTGTGACTCTCGGAAATATTTGCCGAATGAACTAAGTCCCGGGTCAGCACTTACTACCCTTGTGACTTTGGGCTGAACCTCAGTTACCTCTCTGTAGATGGGCTGGAGGGCGCTGGGTTTGGATTTTGGATGTTGTTTTGGTTTCTGCTATTAAGATTTTTCTTTTAATATGATGCGAGAGATCTGAATTGGTTATTTTCCAAGGTATTTTTCCACCTGTAATTGCCAACCCTTTCAAAAGATTTCACCAGTTTTTGCAACGCAATAAAGGACTCTGGATTCTGTCCACTGTCTCCTTTTGAGTGCAATATAATCCTAAGGACATTCATGGTCAGATGCACCCGTTGTTGGGAGGGGGGAGTGGGAGGAGCAGCGAGCAGGCAGGAAGCACCTGTGCTGCTCTCAGTTGCAGTGGGGCCTTCCTGGCTTCCTGCCAGTGGCTGCCATTCAGCCTGGAATTAAAAACGTGCAACCTGGACCTCCCTGGTGGCACAAAGGGTTAAGCGTCAGCACTATGAAGCCATTGGAAACCTGGCCAGGGATCTGACCCACAGGGCGCAGCAGACCACTGCTGTCTCCCCCGCTGCTCCCCTCAGCAGTGTGTTTCAGTCAATCTGACTGTTCTGCTCCCCACCTGTCCCTCTCTGTCTCTGGTGCATCCTCTCACCCCCTGCCCCCGCACCTCTGGCCTGTACCCCAGCTCTTATATGCATAAATAAATCTTTTTTAAAAAAATTCAAACTGGAACCCACATTTTGAACACCACGATGTCAGCAGGTGTGCGAGGTGGAGGAGACTTGGGGAGAACTTTGCTATGGCGTGCACTGGTGCTGGTGAGAGGGTGTTCCAATCACAAAATCTTTTCTTCTGGGAAAACATTTCCAAAAGCCCTTTGATTAATGCTGAGAGCAGGCTCAGAAGGCATGGGGGGCCAGGGAGGAATGAGCCTGGGAGGTTCCCAGAACCACTGGACATGACCAGGGGCCTCCCCCAGGGCACGAAGGGGTCCACCCATATACCCCAGCCTTACCACCAACTTCAGCTACTAGAGCTGCTCCAACGAGGGCTTTTGAGTCTGTCACCCTCAAATGAGGACCTACTTGTCCAATACTTGATGGGGCAGGCCCTGTGCCAGCCCTTCCCTGCCTTGGCATCTTTGGCCTTTCACGACCAGACCAGCAGGGAGGTGAGGCCATTGGCTCTTGTCTCCCAGGTGAGACGGGTGCTTCACCAGGAGGTGAAATCACTTGTCCAAAGCAGCTACTGAGGACAGAACTGGGTCCCCGCCCCCCGGACTCAGCCTCCGACTGCAGGGGAGCCTACTCCTTCTATACCAAGAGCACCTTCTACCCAGGAAGCACCAGCTGCTTGACACAGTGGGGTTCCCCAGAGGACTGAGGAGCATTTCAAGGGCTGGGCTTGCTCACCCTTCCCTCCCAGGCTGCACCCAGAGCCAGGTGTCCCCACTTCGTTTCTGAACCATAAAATATTGATGTAAGTGCAGAGAGACCAACGGGCTGAAACCCTACATGCTCAAGATTGGGTTACAGCTCCCTTCAGCGGGGTGATGAGCCACGGGGGCCCCTTCACAGATGGTCCCAGTCCAGAAGTGGCATCACCCAGAGATTGGCAGGCCCAGCACCTTCCCGGCGGCCTCTGAGCCCAGGCTCGCTCATTTACTGACTTGCTCCTACCATGCACCCAGCTCGCAGGCCTCAAGGCCACGGGCCTAGGGCCCAGAGGCTTAGTGAAAGCAGTGATCTGAACACATGTCCGCTGGATGGAACAGGCCTTGCCCTCTGCCCCCTGCCCCCACCCCATTTGCAGGGATCCTGAGAGTACAACATTATGGGTAAAAACCTGCCTTTGGAGTTTGTGCCTCTGCAAGCTGTGCAGCCTTGGACGAGGCTCCTGACACAGTCAGTCGGGGGGGATCATTGTTCTACAGGGTCGGTGGGGAGACTCCCCGAAACAACAGGGGAAGGACCCCTTGGGCACACAGACTGGGTCTTTTCCCAGCTGTTAGCTGGGTTTCCGGAGGCCTGCCCAGAGCAGCTGTCACCCTTGTTAGTGTGGAGACCTTGTAGCTTTTCCTCCCAGAAGCCGCTGGGCTGGAACTTTTCTGCTCTTTGAGGCTCGTGGCACTTTCAAGAATGAATGAGACCAACAGGATTATCTAGAATGGGCACATCTGAAACCTTTTAACACATCTGCAAAAGGTCCTGTTGGGGGTGGCCTGAACGAACCCTACAAACTCAGGGTTTGTGGGCCCCAGCACCACCCCAGACCAGAGGTCCCAGGCACCAAGGACTGCAGAATCTGTAAGGTCATCACCACCGAGGGGTGGATGCTGGGAGTTGAGGGTGGAGGTAACAGCCAGGCTTGGTGTATAACCAGCCCTGTGGGCACAGAGGGTTCTTGGTCTCTCACCAGCCTTCAGCGGGCTGTTGGGGTCCCAGCTCAGAGGAAATGGAGGACACAGTCACCAACTTATCTCTCTCCCTGGGGTGATTCCTTTCTTCATTTCCCATTTTTCTCAATAAACCCTTTGTGAACCTTTTTGTGTGCCTGCAGTTGAGTCTCCTCAGTCCCTTTTAAGCACGCGGCTGAGG